GTACCATTTTGATTTTGTCTCAAAGAATAATTTTGTTGATTGATCATTCTATTGAGAGCTTAATTTGTTGAAATAGTATTTCACACAAAACAAATTTAATTTTCCATCAAATGCTTTGTATCTTTTCATTGTAGAAGGCAACTTTTGACTTGCAGCAATTCTTGAAATTCTTGGCCAAATGTTGTGATTGTGATATGGATCCACTCAAATCAATGATCTTTGTCTAGTCCCTTAACAGATCTCTGAATCAAAATGTAACAAAGTCTGACTTTTTATTTTTATTTGCAAACAATATAACATACTACTGACTGTCCAAGTCATTTAAAACCATGTAATTAGCCCCCATTTGAGTTAAGCTTGTACATTTTCTTCTTCTGGCATGTTTTGCACCTCTGCTCCCCTCCCCCTGGGTTAATAATGAAGAGGAATACGTGTAGAGTGCTGGTGGGGGAAGGACAGGCCCTGTTAACTTGGCTCACTGGCAAGTCCCAATGACAAGAGGCTTCACGGGCCATAAAGCCGGAGGGATGAGGGAGAGTCCAAAATGGCCGACCGTCTCAATTTTATGCCAGACTGCCTTTCGCCTTCCTCTCATTTTTGCTGCCCTTGTGCGTATGTGTGTGGGGATGTGTGGTTATATTATTCACAAGACCACTTCTTCATAGATTTCATGACTTGTTCTTTATTTGATTATTTTATAAGTGAACTCAATTGAAATTTCGAAACTGATTTGTCTGCTGTCGATCTTAGCCCATGGTTTACACAGTTTGGTATAACATTTTGCATAGCTGGAAAATCTGTATAGTTTACTTAAATTCTAAAATGATCCTAACGATTAAGGAGCTGCAAATGTGCAACATGTAACTTTTCAGCCACTTGTCTTGTCTCTTGTCTCCATGGAGATGTTAGTGCATTGCCTGAAATGTTCCACAGTATTTCATCAAATTTATTCACTTAGGTTCAAACAGATATTTCTATTGCTCGGAAACACCTGACTGAAATATGGAGATATTAATGCAAAACTGTGGAACATTCTATTCAAAACAATATCATCTCCATGAAGAAATGTTGCAAAGTGTGTCTTTTAACAGAATATAATTAAAAGTGAAGGAGTAATTGTACAACTGCAACTACTACTATTGTTGCATTGCCTTTGCCCTTCATCACAAGCAGAAGATGTGGATATCAGAAGTTGTTCAGTATTAAGTATCTGGGCTGTGTGGTTTCACGTGCATGTGCGTATCTGTGCTGTTCCATATTAGCTTCATTATGATTGCGGCTGGCATACCAGGTCACAGTTATCAACACAGGCTTATTCACTCTTTAATTGCCTCATTTAATTTGTTCACATTTGGTCCTGAACAATGTCAACCTGCTGCAGATGAAAGCTATTTGCTCCAAGGACATGAGACACCACAACACCACAACAGCACGACGCCATATCATTACATGAGTCCTGTTTGTGAGTGAGTGATACAATTGGCTTAAGTCGGCAGTGACATTGTGGATTCAATATTATATTTCAAAGGGATTGGACAGAAAATAAAGAAAATGACCTAACCATAATCATTTACTGTACTCAAGCTGATTTAAGTAACTGCATGTTTACATTGCCATTGGATTCAATTATAGCATCTTTTATAGCTCAATTAAAGACAGATCAATTCAGTGCCATACTGTAAAACATTTTAAAAGTAAGTGATCTCCAGGTGACAGGCCTTTCCACCTGAAAACTTGCACAGTCTATCTTTAAAGCTAGAGAGAACATCTAGAATCATAACTTATTTTTTTTTTATGTTGATTTTATATTGAATTTTTTTTATTTTATTAAAATTTCTCAATTTTCTTTACATTTAAAATCATAGAATTTGTGCTTGATTGAGTATGTCACAGATTAATTTAGCCAAAGTGTGTCCAAAATGAACAACACCAGAGGGATTAGTTTGCAGTCTTAATACAGCTATACCTAAACTAATTGTGTGCACTCTTTCTACCAAGTTGTACAGTTTCAGGTCATCACTCTAAACTTTCTTGTCTGTTCTGTGGCCTCTGAAACCCAATAACACTCACACCTTAATCACCCTTGTACAGTTTTACGTATCCATTAGGGATTCTTTATACGTTCTACCATTATCACCTTCTCCTATGTTAAATCCGCTTCACCTTGTCATCTGACCAAACATTATGTGCACACCTTCCTCTCATTGTCAGTCACTCTCACGGATTATTAAAGAGCTTGTCCCTCTCCAAAGTTCCCAAGTTCATCCGGGCTATTTAAGGTAAAGCCCTGTGCACTTCCCTTCCAGCCTCGCTCCGGCACAGTTTATAGTGCGTGTGTGTTGAATGTGTATGTGTGTGTGTGTCCGTGTGTGTGCATACACGTGGGTGTGCACGCGTGTGTGAGTACCTCATTGTGGAGTCCAGTGCTGGTACAGGCCTCATTAAGATTGATGAGGAGCGCCCAATGTCATGGCTGGGTTAGCAGCCCATTGGCGAGCTATAGTCGCCCCTGTGCCGCGCTCTGGGCTCGGAGACGCACCACATAATTATCTGGTTAAACGTCAAATGAACAGGCTAATTTATTCACCTGGGTTATTTATGAGCCTGGGCCGGGATAGAAATGTTTCCTCGCTGACCGTTAAAACAGGAACAAGAACACACTCTGAGGTGAAGGATGCTCGTAATGCCAACAGTCAAGAGAACAGCAAAGTCCTTTAACACTGGGATCTTAAAGGGCCCATATTACACCTTTTTTTGATCTGTTATAATGTTGTTTCCTCATCACAACCATACCTGGACTTGTGTTTTGTTTCTTTCACATGTATAACACACAGACCCTGCATGTTTAGGCTAAGATCTTTCAAACAGAAAAAAGGTTTGGTGATGTAGTCAGACAAATAATCAGTGGTTACTCAAACATGTGCAAATGAGACAAAACACGACTCTCGGTATGTTTAGAGTAAATTTTACGTAATATTGGACCTTTTAATTGTGAAGTCTTGTGAAGTTATTGCTTTGCCAGGAATGTACCACAGTATAACATTAAACATATCTATCTAATATTAATATATATTAATAATAATATTATTAAGAAATATCTAAAAATACTTGCATTCTTAAGCTACATTCAGACAGAACGTGACACGCATGAATTGCATGAGCAATTCCCATGTTAACTGGCATGAGAAAAAAGCTCTGCAGTGCAGGTCATGGGGGCAGCATGAAGTGTTTTCCACATTTTAGGCATTGTATATAAATGTTATTGGACAACATGAATCATAATTTACATTCATGACTCTGGGCCAGGGCCTTAAATAAAAGCTTTGCCCCGTGACACTTTCCTGCTATTGTTTGTTCATATTGACATGTCATATCATATTGAGATATGAATGTGAGTCACATAAAAATGAATGGGGGACACAGTGCATGCTAGAAAGGTGGTAGCCCACTCAACTCAACTGTTATAGTCGTCACCTCAAAGGATACACTTATAAGACCTGTATGCTTAAATATTTCATATACAAATACGATATTGGCTCCATCTGACAGTAGAAGCTACAAACTCTTCAAGTTCTTCACAACCATTTTTCAACAATTTCTTGATCAATAATAATGGATCTAGAGCAACCCACTATGAAAGTCCTTAGACATGCCTCAGCATTGTTGGGTGTAATGCATTACAAATTAACGTGTTACAGTAACATAGTTACTTTAGCCGGGTAAAAATAGTATAATAGTGTACTGTAAAACCTCTTGAATTCTGTCTTCAAACTTATTTTCAGTTTTCCCTTACTGTACTTGTTGACTATCTGTCTCTTGCCAGTATCTAGCCTTAGATGGAGTTTACCACCCAAGAGTTATCAAAGCAACGAGTAACATAAAAAGTTACTTTCTATAGAGAGAAACTTAAGTAAAGTAAAGGCTGAAGTATAGTTCTGCGTCGACTCAAAGCGCACTGCCGCCGGTCGACACAGAGGCTCTGCGTTGGGGGTACGCGTTGACGGCGACTGCGTCGTGACGGCGACTGCGTCGTGACGGCGACTGCGTCGTGACGCCGACTGCGTTTTGACGCTGGACCGTAAATTGGCCTTAAGACAGACTTAAGACAGACTTCTCAACACCTCACCTTGGACAGCTTGGAGAATGAAGTCAAAATCTTACAGGACTTGAGTCTACCTACCCTGAATTATATTGTGGAGTTCTATGATTTCAGATGCCTGGCATTTGAGATGTTAGACAATAGCCTGCTTCACTACATGGCACAGTGCAAATGCAGGCTTTAATAAGTGAGCTCTCTCCAATCACACAGCAGCTTTGAGTGTTTTTTGAGGCCCTCAGTGAAGCTGGGATTGTTCATGCAGACTTAAAGCCAGATAAACTTATGCTGGTGAGCCAAAATTTTCGGCCTTTCAAAGTTGAACTTATCGATTTTGGCCATGCCTGTTACATTTCAAAGGTGGACCACAACATGATCAATCAACCTTGGGAGTATAGAGCTCCAGAGGCCAGTCTAGGCTGCCCAGTGTCTGCAGCCGTGGACATGTGGTCTCTGGGCTGCATCCTGGCTGAGTGTGTCCTTGGCAGTCCTGTTTTCATTAGAGGCTGCCTTAATAATAATTTGAGGTCATCGTTAACCTGCTGGGACAGGCAAGCAAAGACATATTGGAGAAAGTTTAATTGTTTGGGCAGTACTTTGTTCAGACAGATTTTGATCTATGGAGGTTCAAAACTCCAGCAGAGTACCACCACATAATGGGAACCTGGCCTTGGGTCACACATGGACCACTTGAACATTATAACAATTTAGAAAGTGTGTTTCAAGAGAAAGTCCCAAGATTTTATTTGAGTATAGAGACCAAATGGTCTTTCTTAATCTTCTGAAGCAGCTGCTAAACCCTGACAGAAGAATAACTGGTAGCAAGGCACTCACACACCTGTTGGTTACCATGGAGAATGTGGCTTGGGATGACGGTCATTAGAGCACACTGGCACGTAACACCATGGCTATAGCTCTGCAGGACTCCACACCTGTCCTCATGGTAAGGCCTCCTAACAGCCCTGAGATCCCACATGTTATGGAAGGAACAGAGAGTCCTGCCTCCTTTATCACCATTCTAAGTGAAGATCTCCAACACAACCCCAGTGAGCTCCATTAAACACCACCTGCTGCTGTAGTGGACCTCGCAATTGAACCAACTGAACTAGCCGAATGAGCTGAACCATCATCTTCCATCATCACTTGAGCTGTTATCTTCCTCACATTCCTCTGGGGATGTGCAGACAACTTTCTGTCAACATGGAATAATTTGTAAACCCCTAACCTGCACACCAACAGCAGAATAAAAAAAAGCAGTAAAAAGCAAAAAAAACAAAAAAAAAACAAAAAGCAAACCTACAACAGAAGTACTTTTTATGTTGTATTTTTTATAAATTTGTTATCTACATAGCAAGTGCAAGCCACAAAAAAACAAAACAAAACTGTTGTCCAGTATCATCATAATCTTCTTGATTATGATAAGTCTTCTTGTCTCTTTGCAATCACGAGTCCATTCTTGCCTGTGATTGACTGTTCTCCCTGTGACCCGTTTACAACTAAGACTAAACCGAGGAGTTCCTCACGCTATAACGCATTCCGTTTCCCCAAAGCGTAACATGACTTCATTTTATAAAGTTTATTCAACAGTGAGGCCATGGTTCTGGACATTGTATTATCACCTCAACGTGACAAGTCTACACTCTTCTCTCAACTTGGTGGGAAACGTTTTGGTGTACCACATCGTGTCTGCACGCTCTGTTCATGTTGTAGTGACTACAGCATGTAGTGCATATTCGCGTGCCGTCATTTGCACGTCAAGGGTCTTTGACAGCGAATTTTCAAGGATCCATTGTGGGGCGTTTGACCCGATTTGACACGTTGTATGTGAACACTGCATTACGGTGTGCAAGCCTGCCTCCCCACAGATCTGCCTATTAACTTGGCCTGACAATGTCACCTGCTTCTCTCCATGCAGATAGAAGTTTAAAACCATATTGTGGACCATTGGCTTAGCATATCCTTTACCAAATGCTATAAAATGCAGTTCAACCCTGGATTTTTATTCAGGTTTGATGATGTTCACCTTACATGTATATAGACATTGCAGTGCAGTGTATGTAGATTCATATTTTGAGTAGTGTTTGTAATTTTTGCATTTCATCTCTGTACATAGTTTCTCTGTTTTTCTTACAATTTCACTATACTGTCTAACTCAAATCACAAAATTATAAAACTACAATTGGTTTTCATTTCAGAGCTTCATATCACTTGTTCAGTATAAATGTTATGGGTTGGTCTCAAAGGCTTCCTGTATTATACATCTATGCTCACTTTAAACTCATCTTTGTGTTTAACCTTTCACTCTCAGCTCAGAGAAATAGACCCTATCCATAATAGAAGCACCTTAGTGAGCGTGATGCTAATGTAAAGTGGGTGTTTGATTTTCAGTTGTTTCATTATTAATAGTATATGGCTTTTCAAACACTGGTTAAAATATAAAGATGGCTTTTTATTGATTTAAAGGTGATTATGCATGAGTGAGGAATTGAAATATCAGTCAATATTTAGCCTACACATTTAGTAATAAAAATATAAAATGGGCTCAGTAGTAGTATGACAGACCACCAACCAGAAGCTCTTCCCTGTGTGTTCTTTGTGTCCTATGGCAAGACACTTCACCCACCTTGCTTATCTTGCTTATGCAGTAATGACAGAATGATGATGGTCAGAAGAGCCTTTGGATCAGGGCAGCTGTGGCTACAAAAGCAGCTTATGGTGAAATTTTTAAATAAACCCAAGGCTATATTCATAATCATTACTAAGAATAGAAAATAGAAAAAGAAATTTGTAGTTTGATTAACTTAAACGGGGTCTGAAGTATTGGTAAAACTAGTTTGCGAAAGAATACTGTCTTTCACAAACTACTTATACCTCTAAAGTTCTCTTAAGTTAGGGTCTGAAAACCTGATTCCCAAACATCTTCCTTACCAGTGTAGAAGGCTTTAAAAACACAGCCTCTTCGAACCTGGATCAGTGCCTGACTTAAGTTTGGGGTTAAACCAAACACAAAACAAAGTACGGATTTGGACAATGGCTGCTTCCTTAAATCCCTTTGTAATGCCTTGACTTGAATAATAAGCTTGCCCCAGCTCACAAGATGGAGTAAAACAGAAATTCACAGGCACAATGATTCAAGGAGACTTTGTTTTTTACAAAGTGGGCCAACAGTGTGCAGAGAATCTCTTATGAGGAGGAGAAGAGGAGGAGAGGAGGAGGAGAGAGCAGCCCCCACTCCCCCCCACCACTTCCTCTCGTGGAGGAAGTGAGAGCAGAATACCAAGAACCTCCTCATTAGGAAACACCATATGGTCTCACCAAACAGGAGCAGTTAGCCAGTGGGCCGCAGCCGTTTAGCCAAAATGATCCGAAAATACTTTAACTGTCATTTGGTAAAATAATAGGCCAATTTGTTTAATCTACAATCTTTTCAAAGTTAAGCAGTGTATAATAGTATGCGATGGTTAAAAGTCTTACTGTAATTGTAAGTAATTGTAAGTCATCTTAAAATTATAGACAGTGGTAAGAAGAAGATCTATATTTCTTCAATCAATTTATAATGTTTCAAATGACAGACTCAAGTTGGGGATGTCAAAATGTGTTTTTTGTTCTAGAGTTTTTTGTTTTTTTTAATTGAACAATTAACAGTCCCATATTATTCTATTTTCTGATCTTTGTTATAATGTTCTTTCCTCATCACAAACATACCTAGAATTGTGTTTTGTTCCATTCACAGTTCTTCTCTCAAACAGAAAACACTCTGACCCTCCTTGTGATGTCATATAGTAATACAGGAAGTGCTCCACTATGTTTTTAAACCCATACACTTCTTTCATTAGAACTATTTGAATAATTCCAGCACTGGAATTACCCATCTCTACTGAGCTAAAGGTCAAATTTAGCTGTGAACTTGAAAACTACTGCTTCATGACATGAGCTTAATAATTCAGGATTACTCAAACAGGCGTGAAAGAAACAAAACACAACACCAGGTATGTTTTTGAGGAGTTAACAACATTATAACATGGCTTAAAGCATCTCAATTTTAAGTAATATATGCCTATTATGATTCTTTTCAAAAATTCTTATTCTGTATGTGCCTCATCTGTTTATCTCAACAATTAGTGAATGATATTTTAAACGTACAGCTGTAGCTTGTGTTTGAAAAGTGAAGCGATGGCGTCGATGATCTGATTACACAGGCGGATGGGAGGTTAACAACACCACTCCCAGATGCTGCATTAGCTCCAGAGCAGGTCACACAATCATCAGACAAGTGGTCGTTTGGAGGGCAGAGAACACATTCTATCTAACAGCTAAGTGCCACTGCTCAGGTAATCGCATTGAGCACATTACACAAGGTGAAAACATGCATACAAAACACCACTGAAGTCACTTGTAGGGCCACTCCAAACAGGTACAACTGTAATTACTGTTTTATAGTATTTCTCCTGTTTCTAATGCAACGTTCTAGTCTTCTCTTTAGATTGTTATAGATATATTTTTACTTTCTTAAAATGCATCGTAATTACTCATCTGATCTGAGTGGAATCTGCTAACTCACGTTGATTTATTGACCTAATTTATTATTTGGGGTGAAAGGTCAGTTTTGTTTATTGGTTCTGCAAACTCTAAACATAGGTGGAGTTTGACTTTTGTGCTAGATGAGGCAAACATTTTAATGTCAGGACACTAGATTGAAGATTTAAAGTGCGTATAGCCATGTACCTTGCCCTGTACAATGAAATTATCGCTTTACTGTCCACACCTCCATTCTGTAACATTACGCAGAATAGTTATAATGCTATTACACATACAGCAGTACAGGTGACCCGCGGGGCTAAGCGCAGCGGCCGCCCAATCGTGCATTGCAGACACCCTGCTCCCAGGGCTCGGGGTTCTCCCTCTCTCTCTCTCAAGTCTAAGATTAATCCAAGATTAACCCTGGTTTAGTCCTGGTTTAATCCTGGTTCAGTCCTGGTTTAGTCCTAGTTTAATCCTGGTTCAGTCCTGGTTTAGTCCTAGTCCTAGTCCTAGGTTCAGTCCTAGTCCTAGTTCAGACAAGGATTCATTTTATTTCATACAATCCTTTTGTTTTTTGACGTATTTAAAATGTTAATACATTTTTATATTTGTATTGGCCATATTATATACTCAATGTCATGATATTTCAGTCCTGACCCCCTGCAAACTCCAAACGCCTATGACTTTCAAATGCTAATTTCTTATCTATTTTAAAATGTTGTTTCCTCATCACAAGCATACCTGGAGTTGTATTTTGTTTCATTCACACATGTTTAACACACAAACCCTGCATATTTACTGTAGGTTCTTCTCAAACAGAAAATAGTCCACCTTGTGATGTTGTAATACAGGAAATGCTCCACCGTGCTCAATCATTTGGATCAATCATTTGAGCCCTGGAATCTCTACTAAGCTAAAGGTAGTTTGAGTTTTGTAGATGTACACAGACTAATGATGAAGGACTGTTCAAATATATGTGAATGAAACAAAACACAACTCTAGGTATGTTTTTAATGAGCTACCAGCATTCTAACATGGCCGAAAGCTCACATGAATCAATTTTATTTATATAGTGGCTATAAAAAATAATTTTAACTATGGCACTTTAAATGGTTGGGTACAACAATAATAATAATAATACATCTAAAAAGAAATGTGAATTTGAAGTGCACATCCTAGTCCTTGAGTCAGAGTGTCCTGCGTACCCTATTCATCCGTGACTTTCCTCTACCTGTTACTGTATATAACATTTTTCCCATTCAAAGGGTATGGTATTTTAGTTTAAATAGTTTATGGCATCAGTTTTCATTTTTCATCTTTCTGGACCCATGGATGAACATCTTGGTCTCTGGCAGTGTCCTGTGTGATGGTGTGTAAACCTCAGTGATTCTGCTCTTTCTGATCCTCAGAGGTTGAAAGGGAATTATTAACACCATTCATGCCCTTCAGCTGTTTTTCCTGTCCGACCGAGAAGATGTGTGAAAAATAATAATATGGCTGCATTATGTCTATACTTCTTGGTTTT